TGCAGAAAATGATGCAGCATACCTCCCGGAAGGAACAAAGGCTCCTCCTAGGCTATCTGAGAAATAGGGTTTGGTTAAAGTGGTCCGGCATTCCGGAACGCATACCACTTCACACCACCTCTCTCATGAGGCTGCTTCGACAATAGTGACTACCGGAGTTAGGAAGCTGCATTCCCTCACCTTTTATTCCTGAACTACTTCCAGCTCACTGGGCAGGATCCTGACGGTCAACTGACCCGTCTGATCAGTGCATACGGATTGATAACTGAATCTTCGCTTTTCAAATCAATGCCACACACAAACAAACAAACAACAGGAATGACTCAGCACCTGTTACAGACATATGTAAAATCCAACTACTTACATCAACAGTGCCTGAGTAACAACAGAGAGTGAAATGGTTGAGCGCATTGAACACTTCACTTATGTAGGAAGTCGGATCACCTCTGTCATGGTGCACTCATCAGTGGTCAACAAATCTCTGCACAGATACTAAAGGCTCGGTTGACTTTTTTTTTCCAATTTACGTCACCTGTGATGCCACAGCGATATCCGATTATCCATTAAAAGTCGAGTGTACTTTGCTGCACTCCATTCTCTCCTACTGTTGTATCACTATGAAACATGGGCACTAATGGTAGAAGAAATGAGAAGGCTTCATGTGTTTGACCACCGCTGCCTTCAAAGAATAGGCCGTGTTTCGTGATGACACCACGTGAGTAACGCAGAAGTTAGGTGGAGAGGTGGGACAGTTGATGTGGTTGTGAACCTTCATTGACTGAAATGGGTAGGACATGTGTTACGTATACCTAGTAGCCGTCTGCTTCGTTACACAATGTTGACCGAAGTAGGTTCAGGATGGAAAAAGGCTTGGAGTGGTCAGACTAAAAGATGACATCAATGCATGAAATCTTTGACTGTTGATTTGATCCATGTAGTGTGATGCACGCTAGCCGGTTGGGTTCCGTGGTACAAGAGGAACCAGTGGTTGGAGAATCTAGGTGATATGGCTCAGAACCGATGTCAGCAGCTGTTGTAAGGCCCCGGGGTTGTGTAAAACATTGTCATTCATCTGAACATTTTAACTTGGCATCCTCACACCAGTTTTACGGTATGACTAGTGTTTCGGGATTGATTGATTATTATATATTCTCAGAGGAGTACACTCTCCCGTCAACCAGCTTCGGTCTTCTCTTTGTCCTGGGGTTTGCAGTCAGTGGCCCTTGCTTAAGAAGTTAGCTGTCAGATAGCGTGCCTACTATGTTTGTTCGGAATATATAACCGCCTAGCGAGGAAGATATAACAGTGGCGCAGATGTATACACACATTATCTTCATCTTAACGCTATACCGAATCTCACCATTTCCCTTTTCTTCCTTTTTCTTTTTTACTACTTCCTACTTTCTTTTGACCGATTTTTCTTTCCTTCTTCATCTTCCATTTTGTCTTTTATTTGGTGTGGTGATGTGGCAACCTGTACCATTACGCGGTAATGCCTAGTCCTATGTTGTTTAGAATGGATGGATGAACCAGAAAACTAGAACTATAATAATCATCTCTCAAAGTTATGTAGTTATATGATCATGAACCATAAATTATGTCCGAAACATAATCCAGTAAATAATACTGTTCTACTTTGTGATATATCTAATAAATCGGTTACAATAGAATTACATTCTACTACAGTGCTCAAGTTTAACTCCTATATATTAATGCAAGCAACTGAATCAGAGTTCAGAAAGCGTAGAATATTTATCCATCTAAAGTATCGAATTACACCAAGACAGTATCAGATCACAGTATACAGAATGTGATTGAATAACAATGTTTTTGGTCAGTATTAATTTCGACCAAAAGATAAGTCACTGTTTGACTTGGTGGTTGCGGTCATAAATGATCATCGCCACCTGAGTAAAATACTCTTTATTGATTGAAGGTGGAAGAATGTAAGTAAACTCTTAGGTAGGCCATATCGACAAATGGGATCGTTTTACGAAGGCTAGTGGCCAAATAAAACACAAAATCTTGGTACAATTCATCATGAAAAGATGGATTACACAGGGTATGAGAGTAGAAAAAATCAGTGATCGAGTGGGTCTGATAATACCGTTCAGTCCTCAATCCCATTGACACAACTGAATTCACTCCTTAACCTGACCTTAAGAATCAAAAATCCTATCAGCGTAGTGTTAGCTATTCTCACTTGTTATCTTGCATTAACTTTTAATAATCTGAAGTAAGTAGCTTTTATGGTAGGTTCGCTAACATTGGATCAGTCACACAAAATAAAAACATTGATAGAAGACAGAGAATCTCGAAGTTTCACAATCACCTGGATACCAGTCAACATCTATCTGTATGCTGTCCAACTGAATAGATCTGTAAGAACTAGAAAGGACAGTGACAGTTGCAGTTGCCTATTCATAATCTCTGCTAACGACCCAATAACTATAGTTAGGGTGATACAAAGGATGAATTCTATTACGGTCAACCAATTTTGCTACAAACGTTCATATATACGGCCATAACAGCAAGCGAATTCAACACTGAAGTGGGAAAGCTGAAGCACTAAAAAAGCATTTTGGAGGTATCTACGCTATCTTATGACGAAGAATCAATAACGAAGTTCGTCTCTTACAATATTTCTTCCGATAACCACAAGGGAATTAGTTTGGCTAAAACTGCATAGAACATTCTAGGATCCATACTTATCCGACACCTAACTGGGGCTCAACAATACCAAACTCAAAAAAATCAGGCAGATTTCAGTCATGTTAAGAGCATACACAACAAATCCTCATACTTCAACTAGTCCTGGAACACAAGCACACTTAACGGCAGCCGCATTCAACTTTGTCTAGAAAGAGGTGTTATGGGAGTGTCCGACTTTGAAAGAGTACCGAGCAATATACAACCCTAATCAAAGCTCTGTACTCGAACTCACGCAGACGTGTAAAGGCTTGTGGAGAGTTGTCACGTGAATTGATGACAACTAGTGGTGTCCAATAGGGATGCCCACTGTCACCGTTTCTACTTAACCTCGTCAAAGACATACTAATGAACATAACCGTAAGTACATGTAAATCCACAGGGATTGATCTACCCACTGGAGATCACTTGGTTGTCTTAGATACAATGAGAAGCTAAGTAAAGATTAATGACAAAATACAGTCTTTTCAACATCTTGAGCAGAAGTCTGAATACGTTTGTTTGGCATGCGCTTCGTACCTGACAGGTGTAAGATGATGCTTCACGACTGGTCTGCAGCTACTGGCGGCTTAAGGATAAGAAGTGAAGTGGTAGAATGGGTTGGCCACTTAGTCACTTGAGAAACTGCATCAGCCCTAACAGCTTGGTTTTTGTCAAATTTCAATCTCATATGCAAAATGTCCGTTTGGCAATTGTCAGCACGAGCGGGATATTTGATTGTTTATGAAATGACCAGTAGAAGGCGTAGTAATCCATTCTGTTCTATTACACGTCTATGACAAATTGACTTCGAAAGCAGACTGCAGGTGTTTGACCATAGGTGTCTTCGTACAATAGCCCATATATGATGGAATCACCATGTGAGAAAAGTTGAGTTTATGCATAGAGTAGTACTAGGTAAGGAGGGAAAGTCAGTAGATGAAATTGTCAACCTTCAGTTGCTGGCTAAGTTAGCCAGGATGTATGTTGGGCTTGTTAACCCATAGCCTACCTTGACGTGCACTGTTAGTTAAAGTTAGATCAGTTAGGAAGATGGTTTAAGGTGACTAGACCGAAATATGACCCAGTCAATGAAGTCTCTGACAGCTGGTCTAAGCCACACAGGAATCATCGAAACGCCGGGAATTCATAGTTAGAGATGCTTGATGAAGTGGTTAAAAAAAAGGGTCACAATGACAAAGGCGTTTTAATTCTAGCATTTTCTAAAATTTGATCATACTTTCACAAGTCTTTATGATAGTTAAGTTTTTTGCTCCTCTCATACATCCTTGTCCATTTTGATATCACCCCTTCTCTACCCACTTTTTCTTAACATGCTACTGCTTTGAAGTGATAAGTTGAATTGATGCACTTCTGTACGAGGTTCTAAGTCAATTTTGTCTGTCTATCTACCTGACAAATCGACATCAGTTATACACCTAGTAAAGCGTAGGCTTGAATTAATGCCTAGGTATTAGAATAAATCAAGTTGATCAAATGGTAAGATGATGGAATATGCAGATATATAAATTATTCATATCTATAGAAGAAAACAACCTTACCAACTGTTCAAATCAGATTACGATGCTGCTTTTTCTTCATTGCCTTTTGAACAGTAATCTCAATATATGATGAATGAATGGACCTCGTAGCTCAGTTGGTAGAGCATCGGGCTGGAAACCCAGTGGTCGCTTGGTTCAAATGTTACCGCGGTTCAGATTTTCATTTCATATTCAATCATCATGCAGAATAAATACTAGTCTGTCAAGCCACGGCTATCGCAGTCAAATGATAATCAATATGATGCTTCCCCCTCCCCGCTAATTCAGTTAGATTTAGATTGGGATGAAAACTCCTGACTAGGCGGCCAGTATGAATATGACCAAGTGATAGTAAAACGTCACGAATTCACATAGTAGTTGGGCAAAACCCACCTTGGTGACTGAAGTGAAATGCAAACCTGGTCAGCAGTCAGACCTGGTAAGTTATTTGGTGGAGCATAGGGTCAGAAACCCGGTGGTTGCTGGTTGAAATGCGGCCACATTACAAATTTTCATTTCACCTTCAAGCATCATCCAGTATAATTAAGTTGAAGATTAAACAAAATCAGAAAAAGCGAAAAGGAGAGGATGCAAACAACACTATAAACACCCATCTCTGACTAACTTTTAATTCAATGATTTAGGTCAAGTAATCTATTATATTCCTGACCATCATCAAACCCACCACCCTCATTTTAAGTTGAAATGATCAGCGAAGAAACAAACAAAAAAGAAATGACACAAAGGTATATGTGTCTATATATCACTTACGAACAATGTCAAGTAGATCCGGATAGGCTTCATAGGTGATTAACGGAACAGGTAATTGACGTAGAAATGATTTAATCAAACTTGTCAAAGCATTGATATCTCTAACGCGTGATTCAGTTATATTCGCTAATTCTGGGTCTAATTATCAAAAAGACAAGAAAAGAAAAACAAACAGATAGATAGATACACTTGCGAACGATTATAGCACATAAATATATAATATTAAAAAGGATAAAAATTTTAAGAGGATGTTCAATCGAGATAAAGGTGGTTTTCTCAAGGTCAATTCTACGGCTTATCTATTAACGATGAGTTGACAGAGTTACTTTTAGCTGTCGTTAACCACAAGGCTACTAGTAAACTCAGTAACAGTAACGTAGAACCTCTCACACAAGACAATCGATTCAAGTTACTACACCTCACAGAAGTATTTATAAAGAACAAGTGGATAGAAAAGGAGTAATATCAAAGTAGCATGAAAGAATAAACAATTCGAAGATAAACAAGAAGAAACAAACCGAAAAAGAACTACATAAATGTAAACAAAGGGGTATAATTCCACACAGAATGAGCGCTTTGCAGATGACAAGGAATGCATACCACTGCACTAGTGAGACCGAGATTTCAACTATATCAAAACCAGTCTCCCACCATTCCTTCCTTTCTGCTTACCAACCTATAACAAGGCAGTCTACAGCTTCTCATATAGCTTAGACCAAAAGTCAGAAACTTTATGCCCAGATGCCATGTCTTCCCCTAACCTCCCTTAGCTTTATTTGAAAGCAATCCTACTTCGCACATTACATGTAGACTTATGCGATGCCTCAGTATGCGGAACACATGTCACAAGCCACTTCAGTCGTTGGAGGTCCATAGCAGCATAGATTGACTTGCTTTCCTTGTCTAGCATGCTTCGCCTAACCTCGCCATTGCTAACACTGCTTCCAACATTTGTAAGTAGTGCGACGATGACACCTCCGATCAAAACTTGCAATCTTTTTATATCCATGTCTTACGGCCGCTTTATGGGACAGAGAGGACTGCAGAACAGTACACTTGTTTTTTAATAAGTAGTCAGACATTTCGCCAGCCAGCGCCAGAGATGACCCAAATTGGCTAATGCCAAGTGGACCTTTCATATTTGCACTGAGGTTTCGTCAGCAACCAACCTATTCGCGTTGATCCAACTTCCCAAGTAGGTGAAGTAGTTAATGTATCTATCTTTAAACGAGGATTCGGTACAGACTAGTCCTGGAGCAGCAACTTAGACTAAACAGGTGTAGAACGCGTGATAAGCATACTCATATTTCTGTACCCAAAAGATCTTCGTTAAATAGGAATATGGCGTTTGCTTAGTTAAAGTTCCCAAGGTATCCTTGTGGAAGTAATTAAATCCCCGAGAAGTGGGAGGTACCTAGGATTACATTCATCGATACTAAAATGCCTAAGCTTCATTTCTACTTTACTTGTTATACACTGAGTAAATCTTATTTTCTTTACACGAATACATGGGGTTGTTGATACTGTATTTACTCAACAAGTGGTTGCAAATTAATGCACGAAACAGTGAATCAAACCTTTCATAAAATAGCTGGTGACACCTCTTAGATGATTGAAAACCATAAATATTGTATTCACATTGGTGACTAGCAGTGGAATCTAGGACGCGCGTTTCGTCCTATTTGAGACTCGTCAGCGGGATACACCTGTGCCCCAGTGAGTGATATTGTTCCCACTGAGACGAGCAATTGTTGTTATTAGGAAGTCTAAGCTACTAAGCTATAAAAATATGAATCCAGTTGCTAAGACTTTACGTTTTTTAAATAGTCACATTACATACAATTAACAGTTGATATCTTAAGACTTATGCCATTTAATAGCGGTTAATATGAACTGCAAAGTTTGTTTTATCCATTTTTCTAATCAATCTAGTAATAAACACCAAAATCATTACAAGGGTATGTATAATATGTGTTGTACTTGTGAATCTTAGACCAGCATGACCTAGTAGTATGACCTGTATGTGCTTAATCGCATAAGAAGTCAACTTATTGTAGAACGGTGACCCTATTGATTCGTGCATATACAGCCATATAAACGGTCATTGTACACACACACGTGTGTGCGTGAAAGAGACCACTTTCTTTAGGTTGCTCCCACTGATGGTGATTCGTGCTTGTTGTTGTTGTTGGTTGGATATCTTCATCACCTCTGTCATCTCTACGTTCACCTGAAGTCAGTGCCATATTCGCTGCCTCACCTGTTATGGTTTTTGCCTGTAGATCCTCGAGTTTGTGTGACAAGACATTAGACATAAATCATAATCGGCGGCGAAATCCAAATCTTCTTCTCGGGTTTTTCATCGGTCCAGCCAGTGTAGCATGATATAGCTGTTGAATGAGATTGATAAAGGTTTGTAGTACTCCGTAGTGTTGAAGCAGTTTCCAAATGGCTTCTCGGTCGACGCTGTCAAAGGCCTTTTCAAAATCGATGAAGTTGCGGTATCGCCAACTGATGACTTACTGACGTGAAGATGTCCTTCCTAGTTTCATCCTTCAGTTAAGTTTCTGTTCTGCGTGTTTAACTTGAACTGTGGTTTGTCACCAACTTCTTTGAAGGCTTTCAACTTGATTTGGAAGGTAGGCCGATTGCACCAGTTAGTGAGTGTTGTGAACTTACATCTGCTCCCCTTCTTGATCTGATCTTGTGTCTAGTAAGCTGCGTCTTCACTTTTTTCACATTGAAAATGAAGTCAACCTGGTTTTTAGTGTGTTCATCTGGTGAAGTCAAATCCATGTCACTTTGTGAATATCCTTGTGTTTGTACACACTGCCTCCAATCACTAAATCCTGTAATGCGCAGAATTCTGCAAACAGTTCTTCATTCTCGTTCGTTTCACCGAGTGCTTCTCGATCCATGGTTGGTTCTCTTCCTGAGTTGTCTGCTCCGAGTTTGGCATCCATGTCACCTATTAGAATTTCAACGTCGCCAAGTGGAGTCTTGTCTAGTACTGATTGCAGTTGTCTGTAGAATTCCTTCTTCTTCTCTTGATCCGTATTATTTGTAGGTATGTAGCGTAGCATTGTATGATTGTGACTTTCCATCCTTTTGAGTTGAATCTTACTGTCATGATCCTGGAGGAGACTGGTTCCCACTGCATGGGGGAGAGCCTTCGATGCTCTTGTGGACATCAGTGTGCTTGTCGTTGTCGTGTCGTCTGGCTGACAATATTGCAGTAGATTATTGACTCTCCGGTTGATAGAGTTCACTTCCATTCCATCTGCTTTCGCAGATTCCTAACCTACCACTTCTATGCAATAACTTCTCATCTCTTTTGCAATCTGGGCAGCCTTGCCAGCTAGCTTCAAACATTATGCGGATATTTCATGTCCCTATGTTCACTTTTGCTTTCATGGAGAGAAAACACATCGGCCGGCTGGCTCCTCGAGGACTTTCACCAACCGGCGTCATTTCGCCTCACCGATTCCAGCGAGGAATAAGTTTAATTTTATTTTTTATATTTACTTGTGCTTTGAAGTTTTTCTAGCGGTTAGATTAGTTTTTCGGGTAGGGTTGCTAGCCCTATGCCCAACCTTCCCTCTTTATTCAGGTTAGGACCAGCTAGTAACTAGTGAACTAGTTACCTAGGCAAGGTTGGTTTATTATGATAGTGTCTTAAATTGCAATTTTAAAAATCGCCTACGTTGAGAACCGACTGATCTTTGTTGTAGAATAAAATTTTACCTAGTAAAAATACACCACAGTTAGTAGAATGCAACTCCACCTAAAAATTCTCAGCAAGTAAACACAACAATAAAGTTGTATAGGTTGGAAGTCTTTTTTGAAACACTCGTTCCTAAGTGCTAACTACTGAGATTTGAAGAGTTAATAAAGTCACTGTCTCACGAACTAAACAAGTCTTGTTATACTGATCTTGGTGACTAGCATAGCAATCTAGCACGCGTGTTTCGCCCTGTTTGGGACTCATCAGCTGGATGTACCTGCACCCCAGTGCGGAGTGATGTTGTTACTATTGAGGCTCGAAACTAGTACCTTCGCTCCAAACACCAGGTCACTGAGGCACAACTGACACCCGTTGCACAAGAAGTGGTTATCGTGCTTCAGTGGCTTAGTGGGTAATCCCCTGACGAGTCCCAGGCAGGACGAAAAGTGCGTCCTGAATCTCACCATTAGTCACCAAGATCGATGTAACATCATGAATAATTAGTAGTAGTGAGGCATCCGCATAGCAGTCCATCTGCCAATAGCATAGGTCGAGCAATTTGGCCCTGTATAACAACGGGAAATTACAAGTATATCATAACAAGTTTTCTTACAGATAGTGCTCACACCTACGTCATCCAATGACATCTCAATTAGATATTAGGGGGATAAGTGAGCTGAGAAGTTTGTGATACTGAACCAATGACTCATCATGATCAAAATCAACATAGGACCAGGCATTACTGCGTAACGGTTAAACTTGTCACACCTCATATCACCACATCAAGTAAAAAGGCAGTCAAGTGAAAGATGAAGAAAAGAAAATTCAGTCAAAAGAAATATAAAGTACCAGAAGAGAGAAAGGAAGAGTGAGAAAATAATGAGATTCGGGATAGCGTTAAGATGAGGATAATGTTTGTATACATCTGCCTCCCACTGACTTCGATTCTGAGCCATATCACCTAGAGTCTCCAACCACTGGTTTCCTTTGTCCTGTGGACAGCAATCAGCTAGTCTGCACCGTCCCCACACGGCTCAAACCAACAGTTAAACACTTCATACATTGATGTCATGTTTTAGTCTGGCTGCCTTGGGCCTTCTTCCAGCCTGAACCTACTTCGGTCAACATTGTGTGATGAGGCCGACGGCTACTAGGTATACGTAACACGTGTCCCAACCATCTCAGTCGATGAAGTTTTACAACCTCGTCAACTGACTTACCTCCTCTCCCGAAAATCCTATACCTGACGTCTCTGTTAGGGTGACAACACGGAATACGGCCTATACTGCGAAGGCAACGGCGGTCAAACACTTGAAGCCTTCTCATGTCTTCCAACTTCAATGGTCATGTTTTATAGTCATACAGTAGAACAGACCGGACTGCTGTGCAGTACATGCTACCCTTAATAGATAATCGGATATCACGGCGGCGCCACATTGTTGTTATCAATATTTGAAAACACCATTTCAGCAACACGGTATGACATTTAAAGAATATAAAGTAAAATTGAAAGAACTACTAAATAACAAGGATACGCTTAGACAAAGGATCTGGTATTGTTGTTTTGGATCGGACAGATTATATAAATAAACTATGTGATGATAATAAATTCCTAAAATCCAGAGATTAGAAGGACAGAACAAAAGATATTGAAAATCAAATATAAAAAATCAAAAATCTTTAGTTATCCCGGATATGTATGAATGAATATCTGAGACCATCTGGTTTGAACATACCCTGTTTCTAAGAACTGCTGAAGATGCATAAAGATGACCTTCTCCTGACCGGTATTGGATATGCTTAATTCCCCTTATCACCCCACTGATGAAGTGGCTTGTGAAATCCTTGAACCTGTGAGATTATATTTGTGTAAATATAGTCCTCCGATACATTTGATGAAGGTTCGCTGCAGCGACGAAACCAATGTAATGGGTAAGCATATGATATCGCTTAATGTTTTTTCTTATTTAATAATGTTCCATTTGCTGAAACTATTTGTTATCTTTACGAGTAAATTGATTCTAATCATATTAACAATGGATTACCTACGAGCTACCTAAAAGAACTAATATTCAAAGATGTACGTTTAAAGTATAGTTCAGAGTTACGGATATGATTTATAATTAGACGGACGGAGTCACAATGGGGTCTCCACTAAGCACTGTCTTAGTTAACATTTTCATAGCAAAGCTAGAAAATGGGCTACTGAAACAAACAATCACGGAACTTTATTTGTATAGAAGGTACATTGACGACACTTTTCTTATTTATGACAAAAAATATTCAGTGGACGTACTGCTAAAACGTTTCAATGATAGTCACCCGTCTATTAAATTCACTTTAGAAGAAGAGTTAAATTCAATGTTCAACTTTCTGGACATGAAGACATCATGGCTCCATTCAAAGGTTAGTCTATCGTAAACCAACTTGGGCCAGTTGGTTCACTAACTTTCATAGTTGTAAAGGAAATCTCATTTACTCGCTGTGTTCTAGAATTTATAAAATCTGTTCAGAAGACACGGTGGATGTTGAAACTGAAACTCTAAACGATTTATTGATAAAAACTTGAAGAGATGAATCACCCTAACCCTCCTTCAGTTCCTAAGAAAATCTTAATCATGAATCTGGAATTCAAAAGGGACACCACAGCCAAAGTTCTGAAAAGTCGTCTGTCAAAGTGTATCACTAGTAACTTTTATACTGCTAAACTGAGATTGTTTTTCTCCAGTCGTCATCAGACTCGACAATGCGTCAAAGATAGGCTACCATTTATGTCCACATCTGTGTGTAACTACTAATTCACATACCCCTGTGGAACTGATTACATTGGATATTGTTGTAGGCAGGCTCTCTGAAAACGCGTTGCTGAAAATTACCCGGTTTGGCCTACCAAAGGCGAGCGAAATAAAACAATTTCATCCATATGTAAACACCAAGTAGAGTGAGACCGTTCAGCTCCTCAAGTCAAACTGTATTAAACCAAAGAGTGGGATAACACAGAACATTTAAGATAATGGTGGGGGGGTGAAATTAAGAAAGATGAGGAAAAGGGTGACATAGTTGATCTTAATCTCGGTAACAAAATAAAGTTTACCAAGGTAATCATAGTAAGAATGAATTTCTTTTACACGCACAAAAGTGGCTTCAATTTCCCTACGTCTACTGCTTCTGCAAATCTCAGTATGCATCATTGACCGCCTTTTATATATATATAACTTTGAAAGCCGTTTCAACATTAGCGTTGTGATTCGTTTCTATAATATGTTTACTTAAAGATGAAGAGAGTTGTCACCCTCCATTTGCTTTTGATCCGATTTACGGAAACGTTCTCCCAGCCTCACCTACATAGATCGATTACTCCTCCCTATATATGTATATATGATCAGACACGTGTAAACTGGTAGATGAAATGGTATATGGCATGGTCATTTATAAAACATTTGCTTTTGTCATGAAGCGCCTGTTCTGTCTTTTCCACAACGATAAGTTTTACTGCATAATATCTTTGGTCGACATTAGTCTGTACTTAAAAATCATATGAACGCTTTTCTCAGAAACCTAACATCTGACCACTTCTATGTGCATATATCAATTCATCTGCTCTTATGGAGCCAGGTATATAGATCGCTCGATGCAACTGTTATCCAAAAGGGTTCAAGAGCACTGTCCCAAGTGGTTATAAAGAGGTAATACCGGAGAGATAAGCCGCACTATAATTGAACACAGCGTGAACACGAACCACCCTACCTCAGGAACCTATTCGTTCAACGTCATCTATAAAGTGAAAAGAAACCTTCCAAAGGCTGTATGTCTTTATATTCTCTGCATTGCCGAAGCTCTTGCCATCCATATGGAGAAATATGAACCGTCGTGTACGAGAAAGAAAATTGTTCAACTCCTTTTCGTTCATGGTCTTAATTTTCAGTCTGAAATCACGCCTTTCCCCCTAAGTTAGGCTGATATGATTTTCTACAGTGTTACGTCTATTTAGTAGAAAAATCATATCCTAATGCTTCTCCACATATTTGTAAATGATAGTTTGGAATACTCATATGAAAAAAGACATAGGTAAATAAAAGCAACTGAATGTTAACCAACCTTTATCAAATTCAATACGTAATTCTTCAACTAGATCATAATTCCCAGGTATACGATAAAGACCTTCACAAGATAAACCACCTCGACGTTCTATCTCTTGGATACACTTAATCAAAAGAGTTGGTACAGCCCTATTAAAAGAAAATACAATAATAAAAACAGTGTGACAGAGAACAAATTCATCAATTTTCGTTGGAAAAACTCACAGCTTTGCAGTAGGCAATGGAGTCACATGTATTGTGTGACGACTAAGGATACTTACTATATAAGTGCTCGAACCTCGGTAGGTGAAGCAGGACTCAAACCTATGATCTGCTGGCTAAAAGTCAACTCCCTACAGAAACACAAACTTGCACTTAATTTCAAGGTGATAAAAAAAAGTTATTAGTTTCTAGGTGAGAAAACCTTCAATACATATCGTATAATCCTAAATCCAATGTCATTTGCTAAGCATAAGGTATGAAGGTGACAGTGGAAATGCCTTCCAAATCATTGACATTAACAAGCGTTTGTCAACAAATATGGGAATACAAAAGACAAGAAGTCGGAGAAATTTATAGTCAGAGAAAAGACCATGTAACTATTCACCTCAATTTCAGAAATGAAAACATAGAAGGAATTACTAACAGAAGATTGAAAACATCACTAGCTGGAACTTTTACTGCATACGAAGTTAATTCCTATGTACTAGACGATGTGCTCTTTATTCCAGTCAGAAATCAACAGATACCCTTTCAATGTTAACTTGAATTATGTATATCAATTTACGTCCAGCCGGCGAAGTGTATACATTAGAAGAATAGAAAGAAGAGCGTATCTTACATTTTCTGAACACATCTCGAAGAGCTCACCACTGTGAGGCAGTAATACACTCTGAACGGCGCATTCGCTTGACACCTGATTAATATGAGACATCAAGAAGTAGACATCGTCAATTCCTTTCAGATAGTTATTCTTAAAACAAGCTCAATTCTCGTGAAGTTTGCTGAGGCCATAACTATTAAACCTGACTTATGTGTTCAGTAAGAAGATATAGTCAACCTGACTGACTGACAAAACAAACGTAGAACCTTGTGGGACCTCGACACCAGGTAGTCTACATCTCCCCATACAGCTGAGACCAACAATCAGGACTTCATTGACTGGTGACGCTTTCTGGTCTAGCCACCCTGAACCCTTTTCCAACTTCTCCTAGCATCGAACGTCAAGGTAGGTGGTGGATCAGCACCTCCAGTACATGTCCAAGCAATCTCAGTCGACCGAGGTTCACAATCTTGTCAATCGAGTTGCCTAGTACCTTTTGCATGACCTCAATATTGCTCGCATAGTAATTCCACCAAACGCAAACAATGCTACAAAGACATCTATGATCAAAACCATGGTCAATCTCTGTCTACCTTGGTAACCTTACTTGAATATTAACTGATCATATCATCCTTTATCAAATTTAGTTCTTTATACCTTTACTCTTATTTAGTCACGCCATCTTTTGTTCATATCGGAATGTTCTTAACTAAATGAGGTTAACTCATACAGTATTTTGCATGTTTGATTTATCTTATGACCTACTTATGTAATCCATTCGGATTGGTACTCCTGTTGTTATTCTGTTTTATTCGAGAAACCTTTATCAGATTATGTTTATAAATGTGACAATTTTTTATCATTTATTAACCTTCCTCAAATTCGTTGTTATAATTTACTGCTACACTGACAATTTTTATCCATCTTAACACCACTGACCGATATTTTGTTTCCTTTCAGTAGATTGGGAGTATGTTAAGTTTTCAGTAAAACTACAGGCTTTGATATCGTCTTCAAGAAAGGCGTGAAGTCCTCTAGTGAGGCAGGCTTCAGACCTAGCCATGAGTGTATCGACTAAATATTCCCACTCCGTTAGGTTCTGGAACAAAGGCACGCTTACCGACGACCAACAATAGCTGCACTTCTCGACCTGAAGGCGGCATTCGACTTCGTCGATCGAGAGGTCTTATGGCAGTGTCTCACTGAAACGAGAACCGAGTATGTACATCACCCTATTGAAGGCTCTTTACTCAAACACCTGTGGGAGTGTTAGCGTTTACGATGATATATCGGGTAACTTGTGTACTTCAAGTGGTGTCCATCAAGGATCCCCACCCCTCTCTGTTCTTATTCAGTTTCATTTCAGATGCTCTTATGGAGGTCTCCCTCTCGTCACCTGAATATACACAGGGATCGACCTGATCACAGGACTTTTGGTAGACCTAGAATATACATGTGACATAATCCTGTTAGGTGAAAACGCTGACACGATGCAGTCTTCTGGACATCTTGAGTGGCAATTAAGAAGGTTTGGAATGCGCTTATCGTCACCTGAGTGTAAATTATGGCTCCCGGGCTGTTCATCAACGGTACCTCAACTAACCATAGAGATTGAAGTGGTTGAGCGCATTGAACACTTCACTTATGTAGGAAGTCGGATCACCTCTGGCATGGTGCACTCATCAGTGGTCAACGTAATCTCTGCACAGATACTAAAGGCTCGGTTGACTTTTTTTTCCAATTTACGTCACCTGTGATGCCACAGCGATATCCGATTATCCATTAAAAGTCAAGTGTACTTTGCTGCACTCCATTCTCTCCTACTGTTGTATCACTATGAAACATGGGCACTAATGGTAGAAGAAACGAGAAGGCTTCACGTGTTTGACCACCGCTGCCTTCAAAGAATAGGCCGTGTTTCGTGATGACACCACGTGAGTAACGCAGAAGTTAGATGGAGAGGTAGGACAGTTGATGTGGTTGTGAACCTTCATTGACTGAAATGGGTAGGACATGTGTTACGTATACCTAGTAGCCGTCTGCTTCGTTACACAATGTTGACCGAAGTAGGTTCAGGATGGAAAAAGGCTTGGAGTGGTCAGACTAAAAGATGACATCAATGCATGAAATCTTTGACTGTTGATTTGATCCATGTAGTGTGATGCACGCTAACCGGTTGGGGTCCGTGGTACAAGAGGAACCAGTAATTGGAGACTCAAGGCGTTATGGCTGGGAACCGATGTTAGTAGCGCAGATGTATACACATATTATCCTCATCTTAGCCGCTATACGTAATCGTATCATCTCGTTCTTCCTTCCTCTCATTTACTACCCTCTACTTTGTACTTCTACTTACTCTGACGATTTTTCTTTCCTTCTTCATCTTTCATTTTATTGCCTTGTCACTTAATAGGCTGATATGAGGTGTAGCAACTTGTACCGTTATGCAGCAATCCCTGATCCTATGTTGATCTTGACGATGATGATCGTAAACTGTGAGTTGACAAAAAACCACCGAAATAATGGATCCATTTAATTCTGTTCCCGTATTAGTTCTTGCTTTTTTCAAATGCATAAAAGGAGATTTGTGCATGAAGTTGACAGTCTGATTCAACTATATTTCGGTACGAATAAGTTAACACAATTAAAATACGAAAACGTCCGTTCTCACTAATTGAAAAGACTAAGTGACTAACCTATACCTTGGTGAAAAACTTTCATTCTCTTTTACGCTTCTCTATTCTCTTAATGATGACATAACTCGTTGAATACGTCTTTGCTAACATTTGTAATTCTTCATCGCTTTAGTTTCAAAACTGTCATCTAACTTCATACATCGCCTTATAAAATTAAAGCTGCTTTTTTCAACCTTAAACTTCAAGATTTCCTAATGCGCTCTATAGGACTACAGATTTTAAAAATCTGAAGTAGATTAATTTTCATTTATTGGTACTAACACTTCCCAGTTGATGATTATGTGGGATTGAATTGTTCAGTTTGTGCTAGGTATGTGGGTACCTTATGTGGATACCTTGATACTACCTGATTACATCCAGTTGACGAGTCTCAAATAGAACGAAACGAGTGTCCTGGATCCCACTGCTAACCACCACTAATCACACAGACAGATAAAATCAACGTAAAACCTTTCACAAAAGCGTATCAGTTAAAGCTGCTACACTTCAAACTAGAATGTAAAGAGCAAGTTGATAGAAAAATAAGGATATCAAAGTGCACAAAGGTGTACTGGAGAAGGAATTTGAAAATCTACGTTAGTTAAAATTTTCAAGCTTTATATGTCTGAGTGAATGCACCTGAGCCACTGTGATCGATTTTCAGTCATATGACGAAGTCTCCAAACATTGACTGCTGTTATCTCGAAGACCCCAGCCAGACAGCCTACACCTCCCTACACGGCTGAAACAAACAGTCAGGCTTCATGCAGTGATGTCATATCTTGCAGGTCACCCTGAACTGTCCTCCAATCCAATACAACTTCTTGCACTGTACGCAGAAGCAGACGGCATACATAACAGATGTCCAAGCCACTTACGTCATTGAAGGTTCACAATCTCACAGACTGCTTTGCTAGTTTTGTGTAGTACTCCTCAGCTAACCTTGAAATTCTTTACACGATGATTCAACCATACATGAGCAGTGGTATGAAGACACCGATGGTCAACACCTGTAGTCTCTTTATAGCTTTTACTTTTAACGGTCATGTTTGACAGCCATATGATAGAACAGTGTGGAGTGCAGTAAAGTATACTCGTCCTTTGGTAGGAAGTTAGATATCTCGTTTACCAGTGTCACAGATGACGAAAGTTGGCAAGTGTCGAAAGATGCTTCTGTATCCTAGCCGAAATTTTGTCGGCCAGGCTGATGCAACTCCCCAAGTAAGTGAAGTGGTTCACACATCCGACCACTTCACCATCATTAAACTGAGAGTACTTGCAGCAGACCCGTCCTGGAGCATCATCTTATGTTTGACAGATCCTGAATTCGATCCCTAGCAGGGTCTTGGGTGCTTACTGCTGAGAAGCCTTATATTAGGACGAAACAGCTGTTCATTGCTCCCAGATTTCCATTGGTTCCCCCAAATAATGTCAGTCTGTGATGAATACTACCTCAAAACTAAAATCCCCATTGATTTCAAAAATAAATCACAAGTATAATTTGATAATTACCATTGTAACATCAAGAACAAGATATTCAGAAAAGTGACTCATTCCAATGATTTTGTTTTCAAGGTGTACACATCCGTGTTTTGCTTGGTTGTGGCTTCCAGAGGAATCCAGGATGCTCGGTTCGTCCTATTTAGGACTCG